TGGGTTTTGAACCCACATCCAGGGCTGGAATGAGCTGTCCCTGTTACCTCTCCTGCATTAAAAACATTAATGGCCAAGACTTGAAACACAACTGAGTCAAAGTGATGACTCAGCCAGCAACCACAAAAGGCAAAATTTCACTGGCAGTTTGGACATCGGATTTGACACGACTGGCAATGGCATAAATGCCTGAGGACGCACAGCATTCAGAGTGCAGCACAGAACAGCCTGGATACCATGCAGTTCTCACAGGGCTGCATGCAGTTTCCTCTATTTAAAAAATCCTATGGCTGTCCCATGGACAGCAGAAGTCCAGCTTGATAAAAGAGATGCAGAATACAGACCCAGCCCAGCAAGGATGCAGCCAAGCTACAAATAATGCCTGAACTATTTCTTAACATGTGCCATCTGACATGCTGCAGGCAGCTCCAATAGCACTGCTGAAGGGATTTCTAGGAGGTGGGAAGTTTGATATTTAGCATGCAAATCTAGAGGACTTAGGTAAGCATGCATTGGGATTTCTTTTCAGTGGTTCCAAGTCCAATTCCTGCTCTCAATTTTGACTTCAGCAAGGCTACAGCTTTACTATGTGAAGTTTCCAATCAAACAGTGGATAAAAATAGAAAGGGTTACATGGGGCTAGGGCATACTGGCACACCAAGCATGTGCAATCCCTTCTGCATACGCAGGTTCATTCAGGTTTCACTGCAGGGCTCCCATATTCCCAGTGCTTTACTTGTTTTTCATTAGCATTCTTCACCACTCTCTCCACTCTCTTCTGGTCTTTGCTGGAGACTAACCTAGCCAGGGAGTCTGTACCACAGAATAATTTAAACCAAGGACACTTTTCCCTAGTTCTTTTACTGAAATTTTTCTATAGGTATAATCTGTATAACTGCTGTAGCAGTTACAAAAATGCTCTGAAAGAGTTCAAATTATTTTAAAAGTTATTTTAATAGCATGGAAATCTCCTCTCATTAGAGGAGCTGCATCACATTAATTAGCCAGCTACACCAATAGCTACTCAAAGCAAGAAACAAAATTGAGGCAGCCCAAACTCTTTCCATTAATAATGAATGACCACAGTCTACAATTTGCAGGTGTATGCATGTGCAGAGAACATATATCTTTTTCTCTGTGTGTCCATGTGAGCATGCAAGGCAGGCAGAAAGATGAAAAGTAAGCAATGGGAGTTTCCTAAGGGACTGCTCTCCACAAAGGGAATAATAGTTAAGGTAAAGTGAAAAGAAGGTTAAAACCAGACACATATCTGTCAACTCAATTAAGACTGGAGGAGAAAAGCTAACAGCTGCCAGGGAGTACAATGCTCCTCCAAGGTGGAGCAGCAGAGGAAGCACTGGAGAAGGGACTTGGCTGCCCGTGAGCAGAATTAATGGGTGGTTCTGGACTGGCTGAGATGCTGAGCCACAGCTTCTCAATGAGCTGTTAATGGGGAACACGGCAAGTTAGGAAGTAATGAGAACTTTGTCAATACAGCTGTGGATAAAAGTGGGTAAGGAACCACTTAAGGAAAAACAACATCACACAAATCTGCAACTACAGTTCTGCACTTTCCGGTGCTTAAGAAATTGCTTGCAACAATTTTGGAAGCATTATAGTGGCTGACAAGCCAAACATAACCACGGGACAGATCTTTTTCTTAAGCTAGAAGCTGCAAGAAAGAAATCTTAACAACAGTTAAGATCATCTATCTACCCTCATCTACAGTTCTTTTTGGTTTTGCTTTTTTTTTTTTAATTCCCAGGAAAGCAAAAGAATCACAAACCTAAATAATCCGCAGCCTCCTGCAGGTGGAAGCACTGGAGGAGCACTGCTTTTGTAGGCAACACCCAGCACAAGATAAATGGCTCCAGCACATCCCAGCTGGGTGCAATAGGGAAAGGGGACCCCACAAAGAGGTCCACCCTCTCCCTGTACCTCCATGCCTGACAAAATAGCCTTTTACATGGTATCCAGGGTCAGCAGAACTGGCTGCCAAAAAACCAGAGAGTCTCAGCCAAAGTGGCCAGATTGAAGGAATATGAGTTTGGGGTAGGAGGGGATCACACATCTATCTTATGGTTGGATTTGTCAGAATTTAGGAAGTGGGGAATATTTTCCAGGTTTTCTAAGCAGTTCTGGCCACTCTCCACTCCTGCTCTCCTCCTCCTCACATGAAAGCAGCTCCCCCCCAACAAGATTTTCACTGTATAACCATTTTTCCCTTTTATTTTCTGTAAAGATAAACACAATTAAAAATATACTGCATTCTCATTCCTTTAATTCCATGAAGAGCAAACACAGAGAAATGCTCCCTAGAAACGAAGTGCCGGATTTACTCAAAGGTAAAAATCCCTTTTTATGTGTCCCCCAAGGCTCTGAGGGAGGTACTGCTTTCTGAGCTGGAAAGTGCTAAGCCAGGCAGCAATGCCACCATACTGGATTCCCCTCTCATATCCAGCCTCTGCACAGGAGGACACGTACAGCCTTTGCAGCTCAGCCTGATTCAGAGCCAAAATCCAGGTGGGCTGGAGACGAGTAGGAAGAACAGGATGGTTTCATGGTACCATCAAGCCTTGAAAGTGCTGTGAGAATTCTTTGGCTGCATCACACAATCCTCTCTAGCCTGGGCTTGCACTGTCAGGGAGGAGGGGGCCAAGACAGTAGCCAGGTCAGCTTCACAGAGAGCCAAGGAGAACCCCTCTTTCATGAAAATACTGCCTCTACAGCCAGATCCACACTGTCCTGGCTTCTCTGCACCAGCAGGGAGACAGAGAGGCCATGGATGGGAAAGATGCCTGGACCTTCTTGCTTCCTTCTGGGCTTCTTACAAAATACAAGCAATTGCTGCAGCTGGAGAGCAAATACAGCAACAGATATGTCACAAATCTTGCAAATATTTTGCACGTTTAACAAACCCATTTCCCTGCAACTCACAAAACCCCATCATGGAAACCGAAACCATCAGAGATACGTCATGGACCACAAAGCATGACTGCCTGTAAAAAAACAAAATATGGGAAATGGGTAGGAAGGCTCCTCAGAGCACTACTCATAAGTCAGCCTCACTGTTCTCCTTCCCGAGCAGCACAGGGTGGTTCCATCCAGCTAGTGAAACTCCAGAGCTCAGCCCCAGGCTCACACTCAGCCCTGCACCATTCCCACTCCGGCACTAAGTGCTAATGCATGTTGGATTGGGCAGCAGGAGATGAAGCTGCTCCTTGCCGAGGCGACCACAGGCTCTTGGCAATGACACCGAGTACTCGCTCCGGCCTCGCCGCACGCCACACTCAGCCACTGCCCTGCCAAGCGACGGCGCCCTGCCAGAGCAGGCTTCAAAATAAAGGAAGAACAATTGCCTTAAACAATCAGCATTTCTAGGGCTCTAATGAAGTGGACATGTATTAAGGCAACCTCAGAGAAAGGAAAACCTATTACAACAAACGCTGAGAGTGATTTTCCAAATATTCCTGCCCTTTTTCGCTTTTGCACAGCAGTCTGAAGAAATCTTATAAAACCAGAGGCTTAGCTTTATTCACCCTTCTATTTCCTCTGGTTCCAGTAGCATTATTCCCACAGATGAGAACTACAGATCAGGTGAGAGTATATTATAATTTTCAAAAAAATTTTTTGTGCATACTAACCACTCCTGCACATGAGTTAGGCCTTCTAAAAGAGCAAGACTGGATGACAAATAATGAAATAAATATCAATTTAAAAAATAGAGAAAATTCTGTATTCTTGTCGTTTCCCTTCTTGTTTTTTTCATACTTTGGAAATAACAGAACAAAAAGTGACAACATGCTCACAGAGCGACCCAAACTTGAAAAGAAACAAAATGCCATCCAAAGGCAAATGGCAAAATTCCCAGTAACATCATTAATGCCAAAATTTCATTTTGTATGCTCTTCTGCAACTAATAAAAAAGTATTTCAATTAAAATATCATATTATATACCATTTACAAGTACACGCACAATGAGACCCTCAAATGCTGCTTTTGAGATGCAGTCTTCATCCTGCAACAATAGCCAAGCCCCATATGTGCAGATCAGAGTTTGGCTCACATGTATACTGCCACACATACTCTGGGATGTAAATGTGGAGCCCAGCCTGACAAACCAGCTTTGCATTTGCATCACCACAATACCCATCCTAAAAATTCATATCCAGCATCAAACCAGCCACTCCTCTCATCTCTGTACTGAGGCTGCCTGGTTTAGTGCTGGTGAGAGTGTGGCAGGGAAGCAGCAGAGTGTGCCCTAGCACACAGCTGGAGACATGTTTTGAAAGAGGGTTTGCTGGGCTTTTCTTGGGAGAGGGATTTATTTTCTTGGTCAGCAATCTGCCACCTGGGCTGGCCACCCAGCCTGCCAGCTTCAGAGGCGTCTCCTTCTCACCTTACATCAGACCCTGAGTTGGGACAGGGCCAGAGGCACAGCTCCCTGGCCCATCCCTGGAGCAGGGACAAGAGCAGCACAGCTGGCACTTGCCACATCCCCGGCCAGGGCAGCCCCGAGGTCACCCCTGTGCCCCGTTACTCAGTGCAGCAGGAACCCAGCATCTTTAATGACTTCTCCTTTCTACACACACTGCTCTATTCATTTTCCACTTCCCCAGTCACAGCTCTTGAGCCCTATTAACACGCAGGGGAGAAAAACACATTTAAACCCAAACCTGCTAGGCCAGAAATAGAAGTTCTCATTTTCTTTTCCAAAACACAGAATAGCTGAGCAACAACGAAAGGAAAAGGAAATCTCTCCCAAGCACATCTGGAACCAATTTGCTGTCTGTAGCCACTGGGTGTCACTTTTGATATATATTGGTTCAGCCACGCAGCACTTCGGGGAGAGAAGCGGATTTCAGGGAGGTGATCCCAAAGTGAAGCAGACTGCTCCACGGCCTCTTGCATGCAGGCTGTAATTAGCAATTAGCCAGCCAGGATGATTTATTAACAAAACATCCTCACCACGACGCCAAGCACCGTGCAGAGGCTCTTACCTCTCAGTCTGCAGCGTGACTTTCGAGGGCTCCACGTTGGGGTTTTCCCACTCCATCTGTGGACAGTGCATGAAGTAGCAAAGGGTGTACAGGGCCTCTGGCTCCCAGTAGAAGGATCCCTGCTTCTGGTGCATGGGTGTCCCATTCCCATGCTGCTTGGCATTGAGGGGCTGCAGGTGGTGCATTGCTCGAGACACCAGGTCACCTGGAAAAAAGCAAGAGCCAGGTGAATGCCAGGCTGTTCAGCTGCCTCTCCTGAGTTGCAAACTGAAAGGCAGGCTGGGGTGGTCTTCCCTTCCATTTAACCTCACATATGCAAACAGCAGAGGGTAGGACAGGATTCTGGGCATTACTCATCACCAGGCTGAACTTTTCCTGGTGGTTTACGTGGTGTGGCGTGACATACCCAGGCTGCAGACAAGCCCACAAAGGCCTGCAGGAGACGTGCTTTTGCAAAGATGGTGGTGTGGGCAACATCAGGCTGGCCCATCTCAGCACCACCATGAGAGCAGGCATGCTGAGCCAGGATCACAGTTACCTACTCAGCAGCCTTTGGAGGATGCCAAAACCCCACAGCCCCAAAAAATGACCATGCAGTGTGCCACCAGAAGGTGCATGCTCCTGGTCAGAGGGGCAGTGAAATCCAGCCCCCTGGAATGAGGAAGGAGGCAGTCAGATAACACACAAAGCACTGCAGGAGGATATGAATGAGCATGTGGGTGAAGAAAAAAAAGGGGGGGAATATTGCTAGAAGATAATATAAAGAATGTGCAACCAAAATTAATTTTTTAAATCCAGGCTAGGCCTGGAAGACTTCACGTTAGTGGAAAAGCAAAACCTATGAAGTAGGCTCACCTGGCCCCCCAGGTTTCCAGAGCACAGAGGAGGACAAAGAGGAAGATTCTCATCATCCCCCTACACCAATTTAGTTTGGGGCACTCCCTCACAAAGCAGATATAGGAATCTAGCCACAACATGTGAGCAAAGCCAGCAAGTGAGATTACCAGGCAAATACATGGGCAAGCAGCAGTGCAGTCTCTTAGCACAACACTGATTGTAACTAATTAACAAAAGCACCTCTCTCCAAGGCAGTGAATTTTATGTCTAGTGACCACTCTATCAAAGGCAGGAAAAACAATTGTGGTTTAAACTGCCTTTTTTTCACATGTTCAAATCACTCTGAGAGTGCTTTTGGGGGAAAAAAGGATCTCGAATCAAATCAGTTGGTTTGATTTAAATTAAAATCTGAGCAAGAGCCCTTTGGGTCATTCTTAAGCTATACAAAAGCAAGTGATGAGAAAAAGAGGACATAATTTTCCACTGTTAAGAAGTCACACACTTTCTCTTACTTATTTTTCCCAAGTGACCACTGAGCACAAATTTGGAAGAAAAAGTTTAAGATGTACACCAAGGTAGGAGCATAAAACCAATTGTGGGGGGATAAATAATGAACTCCTGGGCAAACTTAAAGGAGAACCATGTGCATGGCTGAACTACAGGTTTTTGCAAAGTCCCATCCCTTTGAACATCTCTCTCCAGCCTGACTCACACAGAAAATGCTGCTGCTGCAGTGATAATGTGTACCAGGGAGAACAGAAATGTCTCACTTAAAAATCTCAGCCCAATCCTCCAAAAACATAGCCTTAAAACCATGAAGAGAAGAAAACTACTGGCATGAGGAAACTGCAGAGTCCATGATTTCAGGGTTTTGACACGTATTTTTTGCTTCACTCTGCAATATTTTTCTGATTCAAAGCTTTAATTTAAAAATAGCTCCCGTCTTTTCCCTCTGCCAGGAAATTGCCATGATAGGACCAATCTTGCAGCTTTGCATGCTCATAATTTCCAAGAGAAACTATGCATGTGGAAAGTATGCAGGATCAGGTCTGCAGAAGAAACAGATGTGCCTCTGAGATGACGCCCCAGACCTGCACAAGGCTCTCTGCAGACAACCAGAAGCAGCAGGAAACTATGGGACCTCCTTCACTCAGCTCACTCTAGTCACAGCAAATGTGCACTGCCAAGTCTAGCACAGGCCAATTCAACTGCTAGCAGCCTTGTTGATATTAAATTTCCCCCTTTTTCTCCAGAAGGCAAAAAAATTGCATAGAAATGCTGGCTGCAACATGCAGCTTTAACAATAATAGCAAAGGCAGAGAAAAAGGGAGACGCACACTAAATTCAGCCTTTCAAACCCAAGCCATTACAGCACTGAAGAACGTAGGTAAAGTTTAGCACATAGCCAGTCTCATTTCAGTGGACTGAGACAGCAGGCTCTAGAGAATGCCTCTGACTTCTGTCATGAATGATGAATAAAAATTAGGATGAAATTTCGGCCCAGATTCTGGCAGCAGCATTACTTCATCCCACTCCTCCCTGAGCGCTGGAGTGATGTGACCTCAGTGACATGCCCAGGACCAGAGGAAGCTGCACAGTGAAAAAGAAGGGAAAGCAGCAAGAATGATGTGAGCAGGACAGGCAGCCTTGCTGATGAAAGGCTGGGGGAACTCATGTCTTGCTGAAAGGTGAAGCTCCAATTCATATCAATATGATGAGGAGTGCATCGTTTTATGCTGTATTTCCTCTAGCATCCCCTGAAAAATCCAAACCAATTCATACCATTAAAGCTGAATTAATGCTTTTTATATTTAAGTCTCACTTAATTACATTATACCAAGAATGGATGGCTTAGATCTTTCTTTTGCCTTTGCTATGCTTTCTCTGGTCACATTTGAAATAATTTCTACATTAACACTTATTGTAAGATTTCTTTACCAATAAGTTGACTGACTTCTTCAGGTCAACTCAAAGCCTAAATAATCAATACCTGTAAAACACTGAGCTTCACAGAGAACAGTAAGCAAGCATAAGAAGCCCCATTATACTGGCACCTGCTGGGCAGAGCTGTAGAGGAAGGACAGGAATCACTGCTCTGTTCTATTCCACAGCAGAGCCTCGAACAATCCGATACATGCCCTAGTGCCCTTTGCCTCCTTCAGCCGCATCCAGTTACAGCAGCAATTCTCCAGGGCAGAGACCATGCCTTAGCACATCTATTCTCCAGGATCAGGGCCAGGAAGGCACAGGGAAGCTGACAGGCACATGCGCACACTGCACACCAGCACTTAGGCAAACTCTGTAAAATGTAGCACAGTGAAACATCTGGTTCTAGGTGTGCGTGTGTGTGTTGTCTTGAACCCCTACCAGGTTTTGCTCCTTCTATTGTTCCTTGTTAATATGCTTTTGCTTCTCCATTTTCTTCGTAAGAATGTACCAAGAGTTGAAACTCTCTTTGATTCCAAGGCACCCCAAAGCCCACAGATGTGAAATCAGCTTCATAATGGTACTCACTGGTCTGCTCTCCAGCAATCAGCCAACTCCAGCCTCATGTGGGAAATCCAAACTACACATGATCTCCTTGCCAGCTGTAAAAGCTGTGCTACATCTGAACAATGAGGGCAACCTCGAATTCATGGCCAAGCACAGAAAGACAAGTCTTCTTCACAAGTCTGTGCTATCCCTTCATCAGTGTCAGCCACCTCTGCTGTTCAGGGCTGTGCTCAGCACAGTAAGGCTCTGCAAGGGCAGGTTACCTGCTCACAGCACTGCTGGCTTTTCTGATATTTTTTTGGCCCTGAAAATATGTCTCAGCTGTATCAGCTGAACCATATCCAGAAAGAATACATCTAAAATAAAATTCCCAGCAGCCACATTGACTTTGTGACTCCATGAATGAGGCTCCTGATGGCTGTGGCATCAGGACCCAAGGGACTTGGCAGGGATCCCTGCCTTACTCTCCACTGAGCAAATTCTCACCCTGTACCACCACCTGAAGAACGGAGTGGGGAGCTGATCTGTCTGACAAGAGAGCTTGCCAAGTTTATTTTGTTTTAAAATTAAACTCAATGAAAACTTCTGTAATTTATGCATCATAAGCCAAGTGAGCCAACGCACAAACTGCTTTGCAGGCACAGCCAGGGAGATGAAAACATCACATTGTGCAGCGTAAACATAAGAAAAAAGAAAAAGAAAAGCGAAGCAGGGGGACATTTCAGGACATTTTTGTTGCCAAAGCTCGGAAGCCACAACTAGAGGACAGGCTCCCAAAGGGCAACAAAGGCAGCAGCAAGCCCCAGGCTGACACTGCCTTGCAGCCCTGATTCCAGATGGGGAAGGGCTCCAGGAGTGCGGATCCACACTGGATCTCATCAGCCCAGAGGAGAAAGGCTGTGCCTCACACACCAGCTACCAAAAACCCAGGAAAACACCTCTGCACCATAGTGTGTGCAGAGCTGCCACTGCAGCTGCCAGCATTTCCCCCTGCCTGTAACTGAAGCGAGGCTCGCCCACTGCTGCTGCTCTCAGTTCAGCACGGTCGGTGAATGCAAGGTCCGCATACATTTGATTTAAAGATTGAAAATATTATGTAATGTGCACGTTGTGACACAGGCCTGGTTTAAGGCAACGCTGCATATTTAGGGAACAGCTTCACTGAGTTCAAGCCACAGATATGATGTGACAGGCAAAGTAAAGCTAAAGTTGCTCCCATCTGCATGGGGGTGCAATACAACATATAACGACAACATACAGCATGCAAGTGGACAGCTTCAGTCTAAGCCCTCTCTGCAGTGACCAGTGAAGCTTTTTTTTTTAAAACTTCATTTGGCTTCAGTAAAAGCTATTATCACTGCTTTTACTATGTTAAAGCCTGGTGTTCAAAGAATAACACATCTGTTTCCAATTTTGTACTGGGGGGGGGGGGGGGGGGCAGAGGAAGGCAAAAAAGAAAGAAGAGAAAGAAAATGACAGATGCCCAATGCCCATGTCTGAGAAGCTTCCTGTGGGATTTTCCAATCTATCATGATGAACCTGATGATGCTACGCTATCCCACCTGCTTAGGAGCAGCCTAACTTCTTTCAGACTGAACAACTGCCATTCAGCTGACAGAATGCCTGCAGAGCCACAGCCCTGACGTGAATGACATGGACAGATCCTTACGCAGCCCCTCCTAATGACACCTACCTCATGTTTTTCTTGTTCCGAAAGCATGTCCTAAACCTACCAGAACAACTTAGCAATGATGTCTTTGCACACTGAAATGAGCCACACAGTTCTTTGACCTGTGTCTTTCCTTCAAACCCAGGGGAGAGAGAGGAGCATCTGTTCCCACTGCAGCTGTCTTCCCACCTGGTGCCCTGCTGGGG